TAACTTCTTTCCAGTTACTGACCTATGTCTTTCTTTCATTTGACACGTAAATTCTTGATAGTTCTTTAGTGATATCCTAGCAAATGTTCTGGCATCTGTTTAGCCAGATCTAAAAATAAATAATAAAGACATCTTTAAAAATCCTAACATTTGTCTTCAGTCATTAGTACTGCTACAACAAAATATCTCAGTCTACATAACTTACTAACGATAGAGATTTCTTATAGTTCTGTAGGCTTGGAAGACAAAGTTTCAGACTTCAGGTTTCTGTTAGAAACTACTCTCTGCTTCCGAGGTGATGCTTTGTCTCTGCATGCACACATGGTAGGTACAGAGCAGTGCGATTAATGGCGATGGATCCTGTTTCTGCACATGGCAGTGCAAGAGCAGAAAACAGCAAACCCTCAAGATCTTTGATAGGGATCCTAATATCATTTCCCCGCTAAAGATCCCTGTATCTTACTACTGTCACATTGGTGATTAAGTTTCAACATGTGAATTTTAGAGGACAGCTTTTAACAACAAAATATTTTTTAAATTTAAAATAAATATAGTTTTACCTTTTTTATTTCATGGAAAAAAACAGAATTTCAAAACAAAATAAGAGAAAAAGTAATAGTTAATATATTGCATGTTGTTATCTTCAAAGTACTTACTCAGTACTTGCCTACTCAAAGTACTTAGTGGCATAAAAAATTTCCAGGTGATATTAACATAAACGTTCTTTTCAATGAACTAAGAGAAACTAACAGAGTAACTACCTTGTATTGTTTTTCCTTTTATATTCCTTCCTTGCCCCTTTTCCCACCCCGGTTCCTCTTTCCTTTTGAACAGCTTCTCATTTCACAGTGTCTACTGTACATTTTGGTCCTCATTTGCTCCTTTAGTTCCACAGACCAGGGAGACAACACGATGTTTACACAGGTGAGTCTGATTTACTTCCCTTATGAGTATAGTCTCCAGTTGCACCCATTTACCTGTAAAAGTCCCAAGTCTTTCTTTATGGCTGAGTAGTACTCCATTGTGTAAAAAGACCACATCTTTTTTATCCATTCTTCAGTTGATGGGCATTTGGGTTGTTTCCCAAATTTATCTATTACAAATTGTGCTTCATAAGCATAGGTGTGCATATATCTCTGTGGTATGATGTTTTAAATTTTTTCAAGGTACCAAGAAGGAAAATAGCTAAGTTGAATGGGTCCTGTAACCCCAGTTCCTTGAGAAATCTACATACTGATTTCCATAGTAGTTGCACCAGTCTACGTGCCTGCCAACAAGAAGATTCCTTTTTTTTCACAGCTTCTATAGCATTTGTTATTAACTGATTTCTTGATGATAGACTTTCTTTCTAGGGTGAGATGAAATCTCACTGTTGTTTTAGTTTGCATCACTCTAGTGACCAATGATGATGTACGTTTTTTCAGACATTTGTTTGCTCTTTGTATTTCTTCACTTGAGATGTGCATATTCATTTTAGATGCCCATTTATAAGTAGGGTCTTCAAATTTTGGGGTCTGATTTTTTTTTAATTCTTTGTAAGTTCTAGATATGAGACTGCAATAGAGTGTAGATACAATTTTTATTTGCACTGAGAAACCCAAACATTCATGTATTTGCTTTATTTTAATACTTACTTTATTGTGGTTGTCTATTACTGTGGAGTAATGATTTTAGGTATCTCTCTATATGCAAATGCTTATGCAACCTCACCTCCTGGAAGTCTGAGAGATCTCTTAAATTTAATGTGAACAAAACTGAACTTTGAATTCCCACTTGTGCCCTCTATGCATGCTATGGCTGTTTCTAGTATCAGTCCTTTCTCACTCCTAAGCATTATCACTCTAAGCCAAACTATCATTTTTGGGGGGCCTGGACTTCATCAAAAGTTTCTTTTCATTCGCATTCCAGTTCTAACTACTTCCTGCTGCAGGCTGATGCGATCAAGTTACAATATGTGGATGAAATTCCCAACCCCCATAAAGCAGAATTATATGTCAAGAGGCAGAAACACCAGGAAAGTATTTCCAAAATGATGTCAGAACCCCACCCGCCTCCCAGAAAGTTGATCTAATTTCTGTAGTGCTCACAAAATATGACCCGTTACCCCTTCTTCTTAAACTCAGTTGTTTGTCATAACCCAACCTTCCAAGCCCTGGGTACAACACAGATAATTACTGAGACAGATTTCAAAGCCAAGACTTTGACCTCAGATGAAAATATAAATCTTCTGACAGCCTTCAGCACAGGACCCTCACCCTACTCCTCTGAACTAATTGCTGACCACTTTTCTCACTCTGTTTCAACTCCATGCACTGGCCTCTTGGCTCTTCTTTGATGTGCAAAATTTTTCCCTTCCCAAAAGCTTCTTTTTTGTGCTATCTTCAGCCTAAATTCTTTTCTTTTTTAAATATTCCAGACTGATTCCTTCACCTGCCTACACATCCTTATGAAGTTTGTAACGAAACACCTTATCTAAAATAGCACTCACTCTGCTCGTTCCTGTTCTTTTACTTGTGTGTCTCTTTACTGCACTCATCACTATCCAACAGGCAATCTACTCATGTTCTTCTATCTATTGGAGGATTCACTGATTAGACTAAAACTGCTTTGAGAGCAGGCACTCTGTTTTGGTCAATGCTCTATCTCTAGAGTATACAATAAAATCTATAATACAGTAGGTATTTAATGCACATTGGATGATCAACCACAGTAAACTAGCTCATATCCTATCTTCCACAAGTGACCAGAATGTATAATTCACAAGCCATAGCAACAACAAAAAGTGTACTTTAGGTCACACATTTGTGGATGTATCGGTTGATAATAAATATTTATTATGGTTTCAGACCAATGTTTATATGGTATGAACATGAATTATGTAAAAGCTTGACATTTTATACACTCTAATATGATTTGTACCATTCAAAGAAGTCAGTCTGCCGCAATATATTTCAATTCCCCTTTTTTATGTCCTTTAAAATGGATTCAATATTCAATGAAAATATCGTCTCTTTCTACCCCCCTTCCCTCTGTGTCAGCAGCAATCAAAAGCTGTTCACAGTTTTATCTGATGTATGGTTGTTGATATAATTTGCCTAAAATATATTATAATCATAAAATAATAAAATTAGTTTAGTGTTGCCATAATTTGACTTACAAAGAATATGAAAAAATAAAAATTTAAACACACAGTACATATTTTGTTTTAATGTTTTTATGAAAATTCAGCTGGGTGAATTTGGAAACACACCTGGTTTGGAATACATATAACAACAGATAAACAGTTGTCACCTTTTTGTTTTGTTTTGGCCGAGTCTTTATCTAAAGCTGCATCTAATGTTACTTGTAGTGTAAGTAATCAATATGTTATGTAACCAAGGTAAATCCGTACGTTTTATAATCTTGTTTTCTCAAAGATCTTTTCAATTCTTTGTCATTTGCCCATTAAGTCCTTTCATCTTTCAAATTTTCTCTATTTTTTCCCAGATGTTTGTCTTTTTAAATGCAGACACTTTTTATGTTAAAAATTTTATTTTGAGAAAGGGTCTTGCTATGTCATCTAGGCTGGCCTGTAACTCACAATCTTTCTGTTTTCATCTCCGCAGTGTTGGAATTACGGGTATGCAGTATTATACCAAGTGGAATTTTATGCACACTCTTATTTTTTAAGTAGATATATTTTTCTTGTTGATACTAGCTTTCTTCTCACCCCCAAATACTACTTTCTTATTACCTACCATTTTCTCCTTCACTGATTTTTAAATCAATTAGGTCCTTTTTCCCCAGTGTTAACTTCTTAACTTATGCTCACAAACGTACTCCTTCCAATTTGCACGTACGCCTCTCCTCCCCACCGGCCCTCAATAACTTACAGGTCTTCCTTGCTTCTAATTCATCTACCTACTATAGGAACACATCAATAGTATTTTTATCCCAGTGCTTCAGATCTTTCAAATGTTCCCTAAATAATCCAGATTCTTACATTTTATGGGCATTCATAATCTTCACCATATGACCACAAAAGGCTTTTCTGTATTACTTGACAGAACAAAATCTTTGATTTTGTTTGACTGTTTGATTGACTTGGATTTTGTTTGACTTATTGGAGAGGGATTATCTTATCTTTCACAAATACAGATATTTGCTGCTTTCACTGATACTTGACTAGCTAAATTTCACTTTGTTATCTGTATCTTTTTTCATTTTCCTGATTTCCAAGGTTCAGCCCAAATTCTATCTTCTTTGTGAAACTACTTGTGTGAGTCTAACTACATTTTTTCTGAATTCCTGTAGATTTTCTAAAGTGATTCCTTGTTTAGCACTTAATTATAAAAACTTTTAATTTACATGTGTATGTTTTTCATTCTTTCCTTCAAACAACCTAAGCAACCAACCATTCAATATTTACTGACTACTCACTTGTCAGTCACTGTGGTGGGTTGAGGCATTATAACAAAGAATATTTATTTTATTTACTCAGAACTCAATATAATGCATCTCTCAGGTAATGCAATATATTTCTTGAATAGATGGGTAAAGTATCACCAATATCCCTACTATTAAAAGTGATCATTCTCTCAAGTATGCAGTAGTTGCTATATGCACAGATACAACACACAAAAGGTCACTCCCAAACTGGAAGAATGGTACGATCTCATCTCAGGTGTTGACTGCTTTGAGAGTTAAGCCACCCATGAATTTTAAAATCATATTCTCAAAGAAATTATTTTTAGTAGTTCCAGTACTGCCAGTACATCTGAAAAGCAGAAAGAACCCTGAAATTTGTAAGCACACTTAATAACACATTATTAATAATTACTAACATTCAAAGTATTCTGGCTCTGAAAATGCACCTTACAAAAAATATGTAGATGTCAAAACTCTACAAGCAAAGAAAAAAGCACTTTGGAACACATACAAATCTCCATAATACCATGCGAATTACTGTTCTCTTCTATTACTTTCAAAACATGTATGTTAAAACTTTATGTTCTACATACCTGTCCAGTCTCCTACTATTTTAAGATGGACCCCAAATGTTGCTTTGGTTTCAGAAGGGCACTGAAAGAAATATACATACTAGAATCAATTCTAATTAATAATAATTATTATTAGATTGTAATTCTAATTTTTACTTTTATAAAAAATCAAAAAGTATTGGAGATTGCCCCAAGTCAATAATAATAGGAAAGAACAGACTAAAATACATATACATCTTCAAAGAAGCAAAAGCAATATTAATTTGTCAATAAGAAAATTACATTTCTCTAGAAACTCATGAATATTTATGTAAAACAAAAAATACACAATTAAAATTGCTAGGTTGTTTCACTTATCCACATATCTTCCTAAAACATCTTTCAAGTTAAAATATATAAAGAACTAGCTTCCCACACAAAGAAAGAAATAAAAACTAATTTTTATGTCTTTTTCTCCCCAGACATTAATATATATAGTTTATAACTAGGCAATATACAAGGGAACATGCTCAATGTCACATTAATTGTCCACGTCCAGTTAACTATGCCTTTCTCAAAATAGTCCTTTTCATTCCATTTTTTAATTCACAAAACAATCTGGAGGATAACGGTGGAGGAGAATGAGCTTTAGAACTATAAGTCTGTGTCCCCATATGTAAAAAATTTAGAAACCACCTAGAGGGTCAAAATAAGAGGATAAATTTCGGACTCCAATGAGAAAATGAAGAATTCTTTCTTATCTTCTAGATTCCCAACCCTTTTCCACAATTGTGAACCTCAAAAGGCTGAATAATGAGTTCTTTCATAATTCATTTGGTAGTGCTACCTGACCTGACTGACAAAAGGCTAATATTTCCACATACAAAATTCAAAGGAAATTATTACCCTATAGAATTATCAATTCGTAAAAGAATCTTGAGTCACATCATGTTGGAAAAATTAAGTAATGTATGGATTATATATATCTTTTAAAGTCTATACAATTCTGAAATATATTTACCTTAAAGGCTATGGATATTTGCCTGCCATTACTCAAAATTTATCACGTACTATCTGCAAAGGGCAGTTTTATTTCAAATATCTCACAATAACTTTGCAGAACTGTCTTTTTAAATAAGAAAATCAAGTAATGGAAACTTAGATATATTAACCTGCCAAGATCATACAACTAGCAGAAAAGTTAAGACAGAATTTGTACTGGTTCTAACTGGAATACATAACTACAAGCAAGCCCCCTACTTCACTAAAGGTATGGAAAAAAGGATTACACAAGAAATCAAAAGAGTATAAAGAAAAACATATACTTGTTGAAGAGTGTCAGAACAACATGTGTGTGTAACAGCATAAATTAGGGTAAAAGATTTGGGAAGTATGGCACAGATGAAAAAAAATGTTAGTGGTTCTGAAAAGCCCCATAAGTAGAGACTGGTTCTACAAAGGCAATTAGAGACCTCAGAGTTCATCAGTTATTAGTATGGTTTCTGCAGGAATAAGATGAGGAGAAAAAAAAGATAAAGCTTACCAAAGAGGAAAAGAACACTGAAAATCAGTGAAAGGATTAAATAAAAAGGTAGATACTAATCATTTGCTCATAATACATTATAAACAAACCAAAAATACATGTTGTATTTTGATGTATGAAATTATTATAACACAGAATTTCCAAACTACTATTACTACTAACACTACTATCCCTGACAGTAGAAAGACATATTGAAATAATTAGAAATATTTTATAAAATATCATCTGAACATTATTAATACTAATTAAATTACATGACATGTATAATTATAATTCTGTATTTATTTCATTTATATTCCAGTTTTAATAATTCTGAGAACAATCTATTTGCTCATTAGAAATTTTTCAATAAGATAATATCATCTGTAAAAATCACCCACCACTTTTACTTCATACTACTCCGTGCTAGCCAAAGACTAAGTAATCAAAGTTGTAGCTTGCAAAAAGCAAGAATTTCAACAGGACCCTGAACCACTGGTATGATATTCAAATTTCACTTGATCTTTCTTTCATTGTAAACTAGATTTTAGGTTAAAAAAAGATGATGTAAGCCCAGAAGATATCAGAAGAGGAAGCAAAAAAACCTCACTCTTGTGTGCTTGGTGTGCATCGGGCTTGATTTAATCTCATAACACATTCTAAAAGAAAATATACAGTTTGCCAAATACTCACATCTGTGTTCTATTCCTTCAGTAAAGACATTTAAAGAGGTAATTATATGTGCTGTTTAACACCCTCTTGGGTCTCTAGGAGATCACAAACCTCCTCTTATAAGTGATGGCTGAATGTACCAATGTAGCTTCAGAGGCTCCTCCAGTTTTGAATGCATAAAACACAACATTGTTTCTTTCAACTTTCTGGGAATGATACTTTTATAAATAATTGATACATCTGCAGAGTACTTAGAATTAAGAAGACAGACCTCAATATAATTTTTATCTAAACATATAACTCATTTAAAGAGGGCTTTCATAGACTAACGTATAAAATGGCTTTAGTATATGTGTTATTAAAAATAAGTGAAGATCTTAGAAGTACGTTTTAGTGTCTTTGTGGAAATAAAGGTTAGATTCATTGATGATGCCTAAATCACAGTATATTAATTCTTTTATATTTTCTAAGTTTTAATAGTTTTAGAAAACTTCTCCAAGAGAACAAATAATAAAAGTATTGCAATCTTTGTCTGTATTGTTATCCTAGAACATTAATAAATATGCCTATGAAAATTTTTCAGTTAAACAAGTTACAGAAGAATATGTGTAGTTAAGCTCACATTAAAATAAAAAAGTTGAAGTAAAACAAAATAAAAAATAGCAAGAAATGACATGGAAAAAATAAAAGGCTGCTATTTATTAGCATTTCTCTTTAGGTATTAAAAAGTTGAAGAGAACACGTAATAATCTGTTAAGAATATTAACTTCTAAAAAGTGCAATTGGAGATAGAAATATTTCATACAAATATTTTTATTTTATAAGCTTTTCTATGTCTATAATTTTAAAATATTTAAAGGTATAATTTAAATATAAGCACTAAAAATTGCTGCATCATAATTTAGGTTCTAAGATGTAAAAAATGGAGTTTGGCTCATATGACTCTTAATATAAACATCAATATATGCATCACCTAAGTTTAAAGATAGAAAAAACAAAAAGTGCTAGAATCTGATGGAAATAAATATTTATAGAAATGTGTACTTACACATAGTAGAGAAAATATCTTATCTTTCTAATTATTTATTCAACCAAGCATTTGGTTTTCAATTTACACAAATCATGAGTGATTTTATTAAAGTCCCACAAAATAAAAAAAAAATTGTATAACTCATATTTGAAAATTAATGAAAAATGATGTTACTGCATCAAGGCTTGTTCAACATTTTTTGCTTTTAAATCTATACCTGTGCATTAATGAACAAAATGATTCAAAATAGTAGCTTAAATTTTCTATGTATCCAAATCTTTCATATCAAAGAAAATGATTGTATGCTATTTTAAAATCATTTTTGCAAATTCTTTATCTCTTTCTTTTCAGCTCTAGTTTCAGATTTTCTACTGTCTGTTAGACATTTTTATGTGAAATTTACTCTAAATTTAATACATCTAAAATTGCTTTTATCTAAGTTCCTAAATTATCTTCTCTTCTGCTTCCTCTATATCTAGAAATAGAACCTACATCTTTTTCATACAGAGGTTCAATATTAAAATAATATCTAATTTGCTGCCAGCATTTGATCAATTTTCAAGTGCTTGCCTATAATCTTCTCATAAAAAATGTTGGATCACAGCAATCTCACTTTGTGTCTTAGTTCCTTTTGTCATTGCTGAGACAAAATGCCTGACACCCAAAATTGAAGAGTGAAAAGCTTATTTGACTTTCAGTTGATAGTGGTTTCAATTGGCTGGCTCCAACACAGAAAGGCACATGGCAGGGGGCCACTGCAAATGAGAAACAGTTCATTGCAACAGAAGACAGCAAAGCAAGCAAGAGACAGCCACAGCTCTTTCGATCCCTAATATCATATCCAGACTACTTAGAACAGGCAGCATTCACACCCTTAAACCTAGTGCTTTTGATCCTAGCATTGCACCATGAATCAATTCCAACATCATACATTTTAGAACCGACTACTCTGAAAAAGCCCCACTTGTGATTGTACGAAGCTCTGGGGGGTATCTAAACACAAGTCATAACAGTTTGACTAACCCTTTGCATCCCGCTATGATAAAACCCCATATTCTTTCTTTCCTATGGCCAATAGCCAGCCATATGTGTTCCACATTCTTTCCAGCATTACATTCCACGTTTTACCTTCATCCCTTTTAATCTATCTGAGCCAACTTTATTATTGGATCTCTTTTCTATCTCTTCATCACTTCACTTACAGTCTACTCATTTAGAATGACTTCATTTTCATTTTGCATGTTGAATCCTAGCAACTCTTTAAGGCTTATCTCAAATGTCACTGTTTCATGAATATTTCTTGAATTTCCATTCCAATAAAATTCATTTCCGTGAACCCTCAGATTACTTGCATGAGTTTTATGTCTCCTTATTGTAGTCTACTTCTTTATTTTGTGAAAATTTTTCTATAGTAACAGACTGTAAATGGATATTAACAAATATTTCAAAATTATTATTGTTTGTTCCATAACATCTTATTCATACAAGTGTCAAGGAAATAAATATATATCAATTGAAGAAAGTGAATATCAGCTGCACAAAATATTAGAAAATTAACCTAACAATAAATAAGAACTTCAGAGTTGGGAAATTCTATAATTTACTCATATGCTCTTAACAAATATTCATTTCATATCCAAAACATTCCAAAAATGTGCTAGAAGCTTGTGCAATTTCACAAATGTAGATTGTACTAAAAGTATAAAAGCAGATAATGAGCCAGGAGCACAGAATCCATTACAATTAAGGCAACATCATGACAAGTAAACATTTTGACAAGTAGAAAATTCTAATGTTTCTAATGAAAATTAAAATACTGTGTATTTATATATTTGTATGGAAAGTTACTTAATATTAAACCGCAAAATCTGGGGAAGCT